GGAATTTGCTGTAAACGTTTCTGCGACTTTTGCTGTGAATTATTTAATTTATTTTTAATTTTTATTATATTTTTACGATTAATAAATAAAATTATAAAACACATATTGATTTCAAGAATATGTTGTTCAGACATTTTTTAATTTTATATTAGATTTTTGTTTTTCTTAAAAATGTTTTATAATATTTATTGAGTTTTTTTAGTTATTTTGTAAAGAAAATTTATTTATTTAATATTTTTTTATTGTTGTAAAAATTAGAAAAATAAAAAATATAAGTTTATGATATAATTGTAAAATATAAATTTATTTATTTAATAATTTTTATTGTTGTAAAAAGTTAAATAATCAAAAATATAAATTTATGATATAATTGTAAAATATAAGTTTATGATATAATTTTAAAAGTATAAGTTTATTTATTTAATTATATTTTTACTATTATTAAATTAAATTGTAAAATATAATTGACATATTCATTTTTTTGATTTATATATATAATCTAAAAACGAACCTATTTTAAAATATTTAGCAAAGGCTTGCAAAAATGTTTTCTAAAAATAATAATATATTTTATTACTCCATACAATTTAAAGGCTACTATGAACTCCATGCAATTTAAAGGCTACTATGAACAAAAATGGCAAGTTACACAATTTAGATGATATTTTTTAATCAAAAACAATTGTTTAAAAATTTGAAATATAAAATAAATAAAAAGTTTAACAAATTTTGATAAACATATAAAGAGGTGAGTATCGAACCCACATCGCTTCTCACATGAGTTAGAGTAATTTATCATTGGGACAATAACATCAACTGTTATTTATATGAAACAAAAGTTATGTATAATTTGTTAATTACTCTTTTCACATAATAACTTGGTTTTGCTATTTTGATTCCTACACACTCAGATTGTTGAAACCTATATTTCATACCAAAATCGTATCTCAAATTGAAATTGCTTCAACATATCATAGCCCAAAATCACTTCCAGATTGAAATCGCTTCCAGGTTCTGTAATTTCTCTCTTCATTGTATCCCTAATTTCTTCAACAAATCATAGCTTCTGATTGCTCATCGTATTCGGTTTGTCTCTCTATTTCTTCATCAATTTTCCTTAGCTTGTTATAGAATCTAAAATTCTTTATGGCTTTCACTTTTCACTTATTCTCCAAAGTCGTAGTATTAGTGTTTTTGATTTTGGATTTCTTAGCTATTGATTTTCTTGGCATCAGGTTTTTTTTTATGACTTCTAGCTGTTTGATGAAATGCACAACTTAAACAAAACTTCATTTGTCTCCTGAGTCAGAAGTTCTATTTACTTGGCAATGTTACTTCTCATGTGTAACAGTTGTTTGCACTATGTTCATATGTGGGTGTTGTAAATGTAGACATAGAAATATTTTATCCATTTTCCACAATGCGGGGCTGTGAAATTAGTGTGTGGGTGCGTGCTTGGTAATAGTGGAAACTACAAGGTAGAAAACAATTCACACTTTGGAATCCCACTCCATTGTTCTGAAATTTCTCTACCATTTTTAATGCTATATGGTTACTTTTTAGAGTTTTCTAATAGTTATCCATTCAAAATGCAGAGACTAGTTGCAATCTCAGGATGTGGCCATCTACCCCACGAAGAATGTCCTAAAGCGTTGCTTGCAGCAGTATTACCCTTCATCGGTAAACTATGCTCTGTATATAACTCGGATAGTCAGTAGGTCATATTTTTCTTTCAAAATTTCATGATCCTTATAATTATTAACAAATTTCCAATTTCCATTGAATTTTTTCCTAACCCTTTCATCATTGTGTATCTTTACTCGTGTTTTTAATAAGACCACAATAGGAAGTACTATAGTAAATTGTAATTATGGAGTATCTTTACTCGTGTTTGAAGATGACCCAATTGATCTCCTACAAGATGATGAAGTTGATGGTGAAGAGGTTAGTTTGTCAACAATACAAGAAAATGAAGATGAAGAGGATTCCAATGACGATGATGAAAATTTAATTGCAATTTGATTTAGATAAATTTTTAAACATTTACTTGACTTGTAGATAACAATCACCTAGATTCTAAAAACTTTTTAGAGCCATTGGTCGAAGACAAGTTACCACTGATGCTTTCGTACAATTTGTAGGTGTTTGTTAATCAAATTTGGTATACAAATGGTATACAAAATTTCTGTTAGTAAACTGTTATAGTTTGAAGTTAGCACTATTCAAATTTGGACTTGGTTATATGAATAAATTGTAAGGTTATAGTGAATGAAATTAGTTTGAATTAAGTTGTAGATACCGATACCTGTTTTGGTCTGCTTTTTTACCTTACTTGATATGCTTCTTAGTTGGTCTGTTTTTTCTCAATGGGATTACTTAACACAGTTTAAACTTATTTTAAATGCATATAGCTTAGTTTAGACTTATGTTGAATGCATATTTGTACTTTATGACTGCAATTCTTGTTATGCTGAAAATTGGGGGATAAAAGTTCTTTCTGTAATGGATATGTTGCTGAGAATACTGAGTTGAAAATTTTGAGCTTACATACATATTTGATTTGTTTTACTGGTTTTTATCTTCTTGCTATGGTAGTTGAATGTCTACGGCTTTTGTGATTGTTATTTTATGAATGAAGAACCCAATTGGGGTGGGCTCTTGATTCGGTTTAATAACTGTAACATTATAATATTTACATTTTACCGTCAAAGCTTTATGTCTGATTTGACGGTATCCTTGTCAATATCATCTTAATGGGATTTCTAAGCTGATTAATGGAATTGAAGTGTCAGGGTGAGTCATGTTGTATTGAACCTAATTAGCACTGTCACGAAACTGAAATTAGTAGGATTGTTATCTCTTGCATTGCTCATTGAGCCACCATGATGCTGATTTTGGAGTGTTATGAGACATATGAACTACCTGTTATATTACTGTTAGGAGTTTATTTGAACATGAGGTTAGTGACAATTGTTATGGAGAATTAGCTTGAAGCAAACATTAGTGAATTAAGTTTTGTTGATGTTCAATCTCTGTTTGAAGTTTCTATGCTGCTTAATATATGTTACTTTCTTGTCTGATATGTAGCTGAAGGATACTACTCCTTTTGATGAGAACTACTAGTGGTGAAATAGTGGAGACTTTACCAAGATCCTTTCAGGTACATATATAAATAAATAACATTGGATTTCACTATTATGTTTATCCTTTCAGGTATGTATTTATGGATATGGGACAGTCTATTAATAAGTTGCTAGATAAAATTGGACCAAATGACCAGAAAATTACAAAATTAAGTATTGTGCTTTAGTTGATGTAGAGAGCTGCTGAAACAGAGCTTCTGACGAGATTTCCATATGGAGGTAAGTATTCAGTCTCCTACTTTACTAATCCATATGGAGGTAAGTGTTTTTCTGTCCATTGGAGAAGCTATTGTGTATCATACTATTTCTTTATATACAATTATTATGAATCATGATAAAACATGTCTTTATATACTTGCTCCCGAGAATGGTGTCATACTATTTCTTTTACACAATATCATAAATAACCTTCTATACAAAGAATTGTTCATTATTTTCCATATATTAATTCACCTTGTTTATCAATACTTCTTCCAAACACCAAAATGTCAAATTCAAGATCCGTTCCCTACTTTTTCTATATGATTTTTTTTATTAATTTATATTTAAAATACCCATTTTTCATACCTTCATACAACAACTCACTAATTCATTACTCCATTTTTTACATAAATCAAGACCATCAAGACAGTACACTCAAGAATTTCATGAATGAGTTTGAGTAATTAACTAATTAATGTAATTGAATCTTTTTAAAACGGGACAAGTTAAATTTATTTACCAAATATTACACAATATACTTCATGTAATATAATCAAACTTTATTCTGTAACAAAGATTTAACCACTATAAATCTTATTAATAAGGAGGACAAAGACATTTGCCACACTTATAATATCATTTAAATATTAAAGGATAGACATAACACTTACATTTACACTTTCCTGATATAAATAATTTTATAGGAGATGATCTTGAATCAGCGTATTTATGCTAAAATTAGAGGTATTTATTTATGGATATGGGACGGTCTATTAATAAGTTGCTAGATAAAATTGGACCAAATGACCAAAAAATTACAAAATTAAGTATTGTGCTTTAGTTGATGTAGAGAGCTGCTGAAATAGAGCTTCTGACGAGATTTCCATATGGAGGTAAGTATTCAGTCTCCTACTTTACTAATCCATATGGAGGTAAGTGTTTTTCTGTCCATGGGAGAAGCTATTGATGCGATACTTACTGCTAAAATGGCTACCGTATAAAGTACTCATTGCCCAAAATATAAAGTTATATATGAATACAATTTGGTTTGTAATTTTTCAAATTGTATTTTAATATATTTTTCAAATTGTAATTTAGAAGTTATATACTTATTGCTAAATTGTATTTCAAATTGTGCTTTAGTTGATGTAGAGAGCTACTTTATTTGATGAAGGAATAGGAGCTGGAGTGGAGTGTATGTCACAAGATAGTATTTTAGGGATCATCAAAACTAGCTCAAACGTACATCAAAGTCACACTTTTCAAATTCAAGTGTGATTGAAGCTGGTATGTTTAGCTACTGCAAGTTAATACGGCGTCGATGCCGAGCAACGATCAAAGTTGAATCTTGTGGAGAGTCATGTATATTTGTTCATGGAGTATGCCATTGAGAAAGGGATTGTCTATGTTAAGTTGTTGGATATCCCACTTATATGTGATGGCTAGTGTGAGCAATGAACATTTTAGGTTTGGAGTGGCCTGTTTTAGCTCTAGTGAGCATGGGATGATTGTTTTGGATAAGGGTTATAGGATGTGAACTTGACTGTATTGAAGAAGAATTAGAAGATGCAGATAAAGGAACGTGAGAAGAAAGAGTGAGTTCATTAGAATGAAAGAAATGGCTTAAGTCTTGAGTATCTGAATGAAAAGAATGGCTTAAGTTTTGGTTACCCTCAGGATAACTAGATACTGTGTGCAGGATTGCTGGGTAAGATGAAGTTTCAGAAGTACTGAATTGGGCATTGTCCTTAGAACATGTGTAGATGGAGATTCGTGACTAGAAGGTGGCGCATTGGATTGATTAGGTGCCAGGTCAGAAGGGACTGTATCATTGGATATGTGTACAGGTGAGACATTTCTGATGTTGTGAACAGCCTGGCTAGATGTACTAGGATGCTTAAGATAAGGTTGTAGACTGTCCATGTTATGGTCCTGATTGACAGAATGTATAGAACTGTGTGGACCAGGTGATGAGACAGAACTGAGAGAATTAGGGGCCTTTATATTGTTGGGCGTAGGATTATTGCCGACTATTGGAGATACACAGGTAGGAGGATTAATATTGATAGCAGTAGGTACAGACAATCGATTTAAACCTCCTGCTGACACAGGTTCTTGAGGTAATTTCTGGCTAGGAAACAGAGCGGGAAAGGGAAAATAATGCTCATTAAACTTAACATCTTTAGAGATAAAAATTCTACCCTCCTTGCTAAGACATTTGAAGCCTAATGTTGAGGAGATATTCCAAGGTAGATGCATTCTTGGCTTCTCAGTTGTAGTTTGTGTTTATTAAAAGGTCTTAATAGAGGAAAGCATGAGCAACCAAAAACTCTTAAGTATTTGAATATTCATTGCCATAAAAATTACATGTTGCTGAATTTGTTGTATTTCTTATTAATTGAATTGAAGCCTTTACTTTGATGCACTCTAAATGTTTGATGAAATGTCTCAATGTGTTTTTGATATGTTTTTTGGAATTTCTTTATTGCACTCTAAATGTTTGATGAAATGTCTAGGTGTGTAGTTTTTACAGAAATCCTTTATTGCACTATAAATGTATGATGAAATGTTTCTATGTATTTTTAATATGTTTTTGTAGTGATGGCATTGGTGGTAGGTTGAAATGGGAAGGTGAAGAAATTGGCGGTTGGAAAAGTTGATGGTAGGGCTGGTTTGGATACAAATGGTTGTTATAAATTACTATTGGATACGTGGAAATTTTGAGAGGAACTAGAACAATGTCGGCATGATGAAGTGGAGCCACAGGTCCCTGTGGTCCATGCTCTGAAATTTATTATGATTTTCATCCTGAGAGGGGATACGATGATGTTGTAAGTAAGATACAGTTAGAAATTGAGTTATTCCAAATCACTTCATTGACAATGTTTTACATTTTTTGGGATGGGTTGGGGATGGAAGCAAGATCTTGGGGATGATACACGCTTTATAGAGTTCTACAATCTAGTATTCATGCAATACAAAAAAAAAGACAATGGTTCTCTTGAACCACTAAAGCAGATGAACATAGATACTGGCCTCGGTCTCGAGCGCATGGCTCGCATTCTTCAAAAGGTATTGCATTCATTTGAACTGTTGTACAAGTCACCCTTTGTAAATTTACAAGTGTTTCTAAGAAACTTCAACTATAACTCTGGTATTTCTGCACCAGTTTTTCTTGCTCCATACTTTACACCCTCACTTGCATTTTGAGAAAAAATGGGGCAAGGAAAAAAGGTGTGAATGAAACATTACTCACACCACTATCATTTTCATTTGCTCTTCAAGTGCTTTTTATATTTATTAAGTGTTCACTGCAGGTTCCAAACAACTATGAAACTGACTTGATTCTCCCCATTATAGAGAAGGCATCTGAATTAGCAAATGTGTTGGAACGTCTCACTCGTGTTTTCACTCAAAAATCATGATCTCATTGGCACTCATAGAGATGTTCCTGCTCCTAATATGGGAACCAATGCTCAGACAATGGCTTGGATGCTTGATGAGTATTCTAAGTTTCATGGTCATTCACCGGCAGTGGTGACCGACAAGCCTATTGTAAGTGTATAATAATATTGCACAATCATTACCAACTGTAGCTTTAAGGTCCTATTTGAGTGGTCATAGTTTTCTTGTGTACACAATGATAGTTTGTCTATCAAAGATTCAAGAAATCAGTTTGAAATATTTGGCTTGTAGGATCTTTGAGATTCCTTGGGAAGAGAGGCCGCCACTGGACTAGGAGTGGTTTTTGGAACGGAGGCTTTATTTGCTGAATATGGGAAATCAATTTCTGATATGAAATTCGCCATCCAGGTATTTATTCACCACCACCACCACCATACCATGATATTTAATATACCACTTTTTCAATAAGTCTACACTATTCTGATATAAAATTTACAGAATGGTGGGGAATATGGGAAATCAATTTCTGATATATTTTACAGAATAAGTCTATACATCCCTGTACAGCACGTAGGATTACAATATTTTACACTTTCATTTGTGAAAATTGAGGTTTTGGACTATCTCATGATTTGAAGAATTGATATTTAACAACGCTTGTTGGGACATTTGAAGTCTTCTGAATGATTCACTAACCATTGTTCAAGCATGCCATGCTGTCAACTAATATAATGGATCATATGCTTATATAATTTTTGTCGTGTAGGACAAAATCAAAATAACAGGTGTCACAACTTTTGTCAATCCTTACACCGAACCAGATGAGGAAGAAGAGCAAGCTAATGCCGAAGAGAAGAATGCAAATGATGAAGTAAATGCTTGTTTCCTAATATTTTAGATGCCTATTATTGGTTATATTTTATATCACTTTTACAAGGTTTTTGTGAACTAATCCCTTGGACTTGTTTTGGCATATATTTCAGGATAAAGTTGGCTCATGGTATAATAATCCTGGAGCTGGAACATCTGAGTCTGGAGCTACGGGGCTTGGCAGCGGTGGTGTTGGTAAGTACTTGAAGGCTAGAAGTGTTCCAACTGAATCTGCTGCTGTCGTCGACACCGATACAGCCGTTGTAGGAAAGAAAAGAAAAGCAGTTGTCAGTGGCAGATTTAAAGATTTTTCTGCATGGTAGTAATTATCCCAAATTTGAGTACAATTTGTAAATCAGTATAGACTTGTAATAATTTATCATATTCGAAAAATTTACAGAATAGTGGGGAATATGGGAAATCAATTTCTGATATAAAATTGAAATGATTTGTTTGTTGCAGATTCTGTCTAAGAAAGGAGTTATTATATTACCCGACATTTATGCGAATGCTGGTGGAGTGACTGTAAGCTATTTCGAATGGGTCCAGGTAATGATCAACTCGAAAAGTGAAAATTTTAGAAGCTAATTAACAGTTCTTGAAAACATGTTTAAGAGATTTTAAATTTTCCTATGTGACTTCTGCAGAATATTCAAGGATTTATGTGGGATGAAGATAAAGTTAACCTTGAGCTAAAAAGGTATATGACTAGAGCTTTCAAGAACATAAAAGGAATGTGTAAAACTCACAACTGCGACTTGCGAATGGAAGCTTTCACTCTTGGACTCAATCGTGTCGCTCGCGCTACGCTTTTGAGAGGTTGGGAAGCTTAGAGAAACATGAACATCAATCACTACTAGCTATAAGCTGTAGTTGGAGTTTCTTAGTTTTTGCATCGTTATTTGTCTCTTCTATTCTTTTAATTCATTTGTTATCTAGTTTGAAATTGCATTCTTTTTTCTTATTAATTTGGTTGGACAAGTGATTATTAGTAACTTGATTATGTCATTTTTAGTAATGTAACTCTAAAAGTACTTGTTATTGACTTTAAAAATTTGAATGTGATTAGTGTTGTATTCACTTATTCAAATTAGATTTTTTTTTATATTATTATTAAATACATTAATTATATTATTTTAAATATGAATTAACACAATTAATAATAAAAATTAAAAACATGAGACAGAAATTATCTGTGAAATTAAATTATATTATTTCAGTTTGCTGCGACTTTTCCTGCAAATGTTAAAGTTACCTGCGGTATTACCTGCGAATTTTTCTATTTTACTTGCGACATTTCCCTACGACTTTTTATTTCAATATTTTCCTGCGACTTTACCTGCTATGTTAATTACCCACGGAGGTTTTAGTTCGAAACAAATAATCTCAGGAAAAATCGCAGGAAATGTGTTTCCTGCGGTAATTTTGTCAAATTCCGCAGGTAAATCCGCAGGAAAGCAGAGTAATTTTGATAGTGAATTGCATTTTTTTTATATAACATAATATATGATGAAAACACAAAGATGATAACATAAATGTGTCAATAAGAAATAGAGAGTACTGATGGTGTGAAGAATGGTAACAATGGTATGGAGAATGGTAACAAATGGGTCGATTGGAGATTGAGAGAATGACCCTGTGGAGAATAGTAACATAAGCGTAGAGAGAGAAAAAGAGAGAAGAAAAACTAACCCAAAACATATAAATTTATTGATGGAGAAGTAGAAACAAATCTCCTCTATAGTGTAATATCTAACTAGACTATGAGAACCATGAAGTAAATTTAATACAGAAAATAAAATTGAATATAAGTCAATAAAGATGAAGAAACAAAATCCATAAAAAATAGTGACCAGTTTTAAAATAAGAGTGGTTTCTGAACTTGTAGGCTGTGAGAGAAAAAGAGAACGTGTTCTAAAGTAATGGGTTTTCTTCTTTTCTTCTTTGATTATTTTATTAAGTGAAAATAAAATGTTTTTAATTAGTAAATATAATCAGGAATTTGCTAAAAAAAATATTCACAGTTAAAAATCACTCTTTATTTTGAAATTATCTACTAATGCAATTGGTAAGGAAATTATGGTATTTAATATATTTTTTTTCTGTGTTTTCATTTGATTGTTAAATTTTAAAAATTTATAATAAAAAATGTGTAATTATAACTTGTATTATAAAAACACATGTTAAGAGTTAAGTATAAAAAATTTATTTCCCATTCCAAATTTTTATTTAAAATTTTTTAAACATTAAAAAAAAAGAATTAAATTTACATAACTCTAAAAAAAAATAGTCGAATTCTCGTATTTATAAAGACTTTCTTAGTGTGAAAATTTGCCAACATTATGAAGAAAATGTTGATTTAATGAGTGACAAATTGGCCACCATTAAATTATTAAAAACTGATTTTTTTGGTCTCCAATAAAACGCTTCAATCACGTTTAAAAATACTTCCACAAATCATGCAAGCCGTTATAGTTGCAGTGGCAGTGATTTTCGTGAAAATCTTTCCTTCTAGCACAGAAAAGCCATTGAATCAATTAATTCCATCACTACAAAAATTACTCTGTTTTCCTGCGGATTTACCTGTGGATTTTGACAAAACTACCGTAGGAAACACGTTTCCTGCGATTTTTCCTGAGATTATTCGTTTCCAGCTAAAACCTCCGTGGGTAATTAACATAGCAGGTAAAGTCGCAGTAAAAAGTCATAGGAAAATGTCGCAGGAAAATGCCGCAGTAAAAAGTCGCAGGCAACGTCGCAAGTAAAATAGCTAAATTCGCAGGTAATACCGCAGGTAACTTTAACTTTTGCAGGAAAAGTTGCAGCAAACTAAAATAATATAATTAATTTCACAGGTAATTTCTCTCTCATGTTTTTAATTTTTATTATTGATTGTGTTTAATTCAAATAATATAATTAATGTACTTAATAATAATATAAAAATAAAAATCTAATTTGAATAAGTCAATACAACACTAATCACATTCAAATTTTTAAAGTCAATAACAAGTACTTTTAGAGTTACATTACTAAAAATGACAAAATTAAGTTACTAATAATCACTTGCCCAAATAAATTAATAAGAAAAAAGAATGCAATTTCAAACTAGATAACAAATGAATTAAAAGAATAGAAGAGACAAATAACGATGCAAAAACTAAGAAACTCCAACTACAGCTTATAGCTAGTAGTGATTGATGTTCATGTTTCTCTAAGCTTCCCAACCTCTCAAAAGCGTAGCGTGAGCGACACGGTTGAGTCCAAGAGTGAAAGCTTCCATTCGCAAGTCGCAATTGTGAGTTTTACACATTCCTTTTATGTTCTTGAAAGCTCTAGTCATATACCTTTTTAGCTCAAGGTTAACTTTATCTTCATCCCACATAAATCCTTGAATATTCTGCAGAAGTCACATAGGAAAATTTAAAATCTCTTAAACATGTTTTTAAGAACTGTTAATTAGCTTCTGAAATTTTCACTTATCGAGTTGATCATTACCTGGACCCATTCGAAATAGCTTACAATCACTCCACCAGCATTCACATAAATGCCGGGTAACATAATAACTCCTTTCTTAGACAGAATCTGCAACAAACAAATCATCTCAATTTTATATCAAAAATTGATTTCCCATATTCCCCACTATTCTATAAATTTTTCGAATATGATAAATTATTACAAGTCTACACTGATTTAAAAATTGTACTCAAATTTGGGATAATTACTACCATGCAGAAAAATCTTTAAATCCGCCACTGACAACTGCTTTTCTTTTCTTTCCTACAACGGTTGTGCCGGTGTCGATGGCAGCAGCAGCAGATTCAGTTGGAACACTTCTAGCCTTCAAGTACTTGCCAACACCACCGCTGCCAACCCCCGTAGCTCCAGACTCAGATGTTCCAGCTCCAGGATTACTATACCATGAGCCAACTTTATCCTGAAATATATGCCAAAACAAGTCCAAGGGATTAGTTCACAAAAACCTTGTAAAAGTGATATAAAATATAACCAATAATAGGCATCTCAAATATTAGGAAACAAACCTTTTCTTCATCATTTGCATTCTTCTCTTCAGCATTAGCTTGCTCTTCTTCCTCATCTGGTTCGGTGTAAGGATTGAAAAAAGTTGTGACACCTGTTATTTTGATTTCGTCCTGCACGACAAAAATTATATAAGCATATGATCCATTATATTAGTTGACAGCATGGCATGCTTGAACAATGGTTAGTGAATCATTCAGAAGACTTCAAATGTCCCAACAAGCGTTGTTAAATATCAATTCTTCAAATCATGAGATAGTCCAAAACCTCAATTTTCACAAATGAAAGTGTAAAATATTGTAATCCTACGTGCTGTACAGGGATGTATAGACTTATTCTGTAAAATATATCAGAAATTGATTTCCCATATTCCCCCACTATTCTGTAAATTTTATATCAGAATAGTGTAGACTTATTGAAAAAGTGGTATATTAAATATCATGGTATGGTGGTGGTGGTGGTGAATAAATACCTGGATGGCGAATTTCATATCAGAAATTGATTTCCCATATTCAGCAAATAAAGCCTCCGTTCCAAAAACCACTCCTAGTCCAGTGGCGGCCTCTCTTCCCAAGGAACCTCAAAGATCCTACAAGCCAAATATTTCAAACTGATTTCTTGAATCTTGGATAGACAAACTATCATTGTGTACACAAGAAAACTATGACCACTCAAATAGGACCTTAAAGCTACAGTTGGTAATGATTGTGCAATATTATTATACACTTACAATAGGCTTGTCGGTCACCACTGCCGGTGAATGACCATGAAACTTAGAATACTCATCAAGCATCCAAGCCATTGTCTGAGCATTGGTTCCCATATCAGGAGCAGGAACATCTCTATGAGTGCCAATGAGATCATGAATTTTGAGTGAAAACACGAGTGAGACATTCCAACTCATTTGCTAATTCAGATGCCTTCTCTATAATGGGGAGAATCAAATCAGTTTCATAGTTGTTTGGAACCTGCAGTGAACACTTAATAAATATAAAAAGCACTTGAAGAGCAAATGAAAATGATAGTGGTGTGAGTAATGTTTCATTCACACCTTTTTTCCTTGCCCCATTTTTTCTCAACATGCAAGTGAGGGTGTAAAGTATGGAGCAAGAAAACCTGGTGCAGAAATACCAGAGTTGTAGTTGAAGTTTCTTAGAAACACTTGTAAATTTACAAAGGGTGACTTGTACAACAGTTCAAATGAATGCAATACCTTTTGAAGAATGCGAGCCATGCGCTCGAGACCGAGGCCAGTATCTATGTTCATCTGCTTTAGTGGTTCAAGAGAACCATCGTCTTTTTTGTTGTATTACATGAATACTAGATTGTAGAACTCTATAAAGCATGTATCATCCCCAAGATCTTGCTTCCATCCCCAACCCATCCCAAAAAATGTAAAACATTGTCAATGAAGTGATTTGGAATAACTCAATTTCTAACTGTATCTTACTTACAACATCATCGTATCCCCTCTCAGGATGAAAATCATAATAAATTTCAGAGCATGGACCGCAGGGACCTGTGGCTCCACTTCATCATGCCGACACTGTTCTAGTTCCTCTCAAAATTTCCATGTATCCAATAGTAATTTATAACAACCATTTGTAGATAAACCGTTTGTATCCAAACCAGCCCTACCATCAACTTTGCCAACCGCCAATTTCTTCACCTTCCCATTTCAACCTACCACCAATGCCATCACTACAAAAACATATTAAAAATACATAGAAACATTTCATCAAACATTTATAGTGCAATAAAGGATTTCTGTAAAAACTACACACCGAGACATTTCATCAAACATTTAGAGTGCAATAAAGAAATTCCAAAAAACATATCAAAAACACATTGAGACATTTCATCAAACATTTAGAGTGCATCTAAGTAAAGGCTTCAATTCAATTAATAAGAAATACAACAAATTCAGCAACATGTAATTTTTATGGCAATGAATATTCAAATACTTAAGAGTTTTTGGTTTCTCATGCTTTCCTCTATTAAGACCTTTTAATAAACACAAACTACAACTGAGAAGCCAAGAATGCATCTACCTTGGAATATCTCCTCAACATTAGGCTTCAAATGTCTTAGCAAGGAGGGTAGAATTTTTATCTCTAAAGATGTTAAGTTTAATGAGCATTATTTTCCCTTTCCCGCTCTGTTTCCTAGCCAGAAATTACCAGAATTGACTCATCAACAATTTTTTAAAAGCTGTGATACACTGACTTGAGTCTCTGATCTGTCTTAGTTTGGTAAATTGTAAGCATTATTAAATTAAAAATAAATAAATTACTCTTTTAATTCTTTTAAAAAATATAATACTTCAAAAATTCAATTTGTTTTCCAAATGCAAAATCTCTAGTGTTAACCATTTAAATTTAAATTTTACAACTATAAATATTAACTACAAAAACCAAAAACTCTCATTACCACGTGTCAAAAGTTAGGCATAACCTCATAACTCTAGTAAAGCTAAAAAGTATAGCCATAATAAGCATAACTATATAACTATTAGAAAACTCTAACCCCACTGCATGTGTTAAATAATAATTGACTTATGTTAGCCCCATACTATATGTGTTAGTTTCTTTTTTCCGGATCTCTACGTTAGTTCATTAAATGCATTTGTCTTTTGATTTTGATGACAAAAAAAATGCTCTTGTATTGTCATTTTCAGATGAAGTCAAGGTGCATTTTTTTATCAATATCCCTTAAAAAAGAAAAAGTAAAATGGATATAAAAAATGAAATGTGAGTAATCTATTATATTTATAGTAGTATAATCATCTCGTTTGCCTCATTATATACTTATTTAATACTACATGCAACAATTCATAAGACTTAAATATTCAATTCCCATCATTTTAAATCTTCATTTCTATGCAATGGAAATCAAATCTACCTTCCTCATCATCATTACTTCATTCATCCTCTTTTTGTTTTGGCTAACAAAGAAAATCAAAGCAAGAAGTGCGATCCATAAATTTCCACCAGGACCATGGAAGCTTCCTCTAATAGGAAACTTGCATCAATTAGCACTAGGAGGATCACTTCCACACCACACACTTGGAAAACTCTCACACAAATATGGACCTCTTATGCATCTTCAGCTAGGTGAAATCTCTGCAGTGATTGTTTCATCTCCTGATTTAGCCAAAGAAATAATGAAAACACATGATCTTTCTTTTGTTAATAGGCCACAACTTCTTTGCCCTAAAATATTAGACTATGAATCAACCGATATCGCGTTTGCTCTATACGGTGATTATTGGAGACATATGAGAAAAATATGTACATCAGAGCTTCTTAGTGCAAAAAGGGTTCAATCTCTTTGTTCCATTAGAGAAGACGAGGTTGAAAAGTTTATACAATCCATTCATCATTTCTCAGTTTCTTCTCAACCACTTGATCTTACGAAAACGGTAAAAAGTATCGCCATAATAAGCATTAACTATTAGAAAACTCTAAAAAGTAACCATATAGCATTAAAAATGGTAGAGAAATTTCAGAACAATGGAGTGGAATTCCAAAGTGTGAATTGTTTTCTACCTTGTAGTTTCCACTATTACCAAGCACGCACTCACACACTAATTTCACAGCCCCACATTGTGGAAAATGGATAAAATATTTCTATGTCTACATTTACAACACCCACATATGAACATAGTGCAAACAACTGTTACAAATGAGAAGTAGCATTGCCAAGTAAATAGAACTTCTGACTCAGAAGACAAATGAAGTTTTGTTTAAGTTGTGCATTTCATCAAACAGCTAGAAGTCATAAAAAAAACCTGATGCCAAGCAAATCAATAGCTAAGAAATCCAAAATCAAAAACACTAATACTACGACTTTGGAGAATAAGTGAAAAGTGAAAGCCATAAAGAATTTTAGATTCTATAACAAGCTAAGGAAAATTGATGAAGAAATAGAGAGACAAACCGAATACGATGAGCAATCAGAAGCTATGATTTGTTGAAGAAATTAGGGATACAATGAAGAGAGAAATTACAGAACCTGGAAGCGATTTCAATCTGGAAGTGATTTTGGGCTATGATATGTTGAAGCAATTTCAATCTGAGATGCGATTTTGGTATGAAATATAGATTTCAACAATCTGAACGTGTAGGAATCAAAATAGCAAAACCAAGTTATTATGTGAAAAGAGTAATTAACAAATTATACATAACTTTTGTTTCATATAAATAACAGTTGATGTTATTGTCTCAATGATAAATTACTCTAACTCATGTGAGAAGCGATGTGGGTTCGATACTCACCTCTTTATATGTTTATCAAAATTTGTTAAACTTTTTATTTATTTTATATTTCAAATTTTTAAACAATTGTTTTTGATTAAAAAATATCCTTTATTTAAAAAATATTTTGACATAAATTGTGTGACTTGTGTTTTTGTTCATAGTAGCCTTTAAATTGTATGGAGTTCATAGTAGCCTTTAAATTGTATGGAGTAATAAAATATATTATTATTTTTAGAAAACATTTCTGCAAGCCTTTGCTAAATATTTTAAAATAGGTTTGTTTTTAGATTATATATATAAATCAAAAAAATCAATATGCCAATTATATTTTACAATTTAATTTAATAATAATAAAAATATAATTAAATAAATAAACTTATACTTTTACGATTATTTCATAAACTTATATTTTACAATTATATTATAAATTTATATTTTTGATTATCTAAATTTTAACAACAATAAAAATTATTAAATAAATAAATTTATATTTTACAATTATATCATAAACTTATATTTTTTATTTTTTAAATTTTTACAACAATAAAAAAGTATTAACTAAATAAATTTTCTTTACAAAATAACTAAAAAAACCCAATAAATATTATAAAATTTTTTAAAGAAAAACAAAAATCTAATATAAAATTAAGAAATGTCTGAACAACATATTCTTGAAATTAATATGTATTTTATAATTTTATTTATTAATAGTAAAAATATAATAAAAAGTAAAAACACATCAAATAATTCGCAGCAAAAGTCGCAGAAATGTTTACAGCAAGTTCCGCAGCAAATCTCGCAGAAATTCCTGCGATATTTCCAGAGAATTTTGAGGTTCAACAGATAACTAATTCCTGCCAAGAAAATCGCAGAAAATTCCGCACGAACTTTATTTTTTAATTTTAAATTTAAAATCACAGCAAGGAGTTCCTGCGAAATTTGCTGCTACTACGTTTTTTGCCGGGAATGATGTTTCACAATATAGAAGCGCAGGTAAAATCGCAGGTATTTCTGCGAAACTATTTCCGCAGGAAAATCCGAGGTAAACTGTGTATTTCTAGTAGTGCGTAGTTTTATAATAATTAATTATGCTGACATAAGCTGTCCAGTCAAATTAATTAAGCGGATACCAAGAATAACTAAATTTATTAATTACGGAATGTAGTTTAGATGCCTTTATTATAATATTTAATAAAATTATATAATTTAAATGTAATCCAGTATCTTGTTTGATGCATATTATTTATTATATTTATTTATAATTTTTTTAAGACAATAAGAATCTTTCCCTTCTAAAATTTTGAAGAAATGTCTATTGAATTTTTTTATTTGTATTGTAAGTTATATATATATATATATATATATATATATATATATATATATATATATATATATATATATATATATATATATATATATATATATATATATATATATATATATATATATATATATATATATATATATATATATATATATATATATATATATATATATATATATATATATATATATATATATATATATATATATATATATATATATATATATATATATATATATATATATATATATATATATATATATATATATATATATATATATATATATATATATATATATATATAATATTAGCGACAATAGTTATCGTTGAAGATTAGTCATTTTCCCTATAATAATGTGATTCTTGAAAAAGAGAAAAAGTTATTATATTGACTTATAAAAGTCGTTGCAATATAAAGATTAAAAAGTTATATTATTTTCAACAAAAAATAGTTATTGTTGCGATAAGTTATTTTTTGCAAGTATAATGATATTGTTGAAAAAATAATAAATTATTACAACGACTTAGATTAATCGCTACTATTTGTATGTTATTGTCAGCAAATTGAAAGTCATTGAGAAAAAATCGCTGTCAATTATCTTGATTATCTTATTTCTTATAGTACACTAATATTATAAATGTCTTCAACGTAGTTGGAATATGTGACATTCACATTAGGTGTATTTTAAATTTTTAGTTGAAAAGCATATGATAGGACTTTTTGGATAAATATTATTATAGAAATAACCTTTGTTAGTGTTTCTTGTATAAGTGCTATTAAATATTTATGATATTTTTCTTAGTAGTAAACCTATAATAGCGCCCAACGAAAAACGCTATTATAGGTCTTTGTTTGTTAGTTTTAATAGCTCTTTATAGAAGTGCTATTAAATTATTTCTATCAACAATCAAAATTGTGGTAGTGTCAAATTTAATTAAAATGTTATTATTATGGTCGTTACTTGTTATTTGAAATGACATGTTTGAGGATTTTGGAGTTAACGAGGCATGCATGGAGATAAAATAAATTAGTAAAAATAGTAAAATTTGGAATTAAAATAAAGTAAAATTGTACATTACAAGAAATATTACGTTTTCTCATATATTTTTTTACGTCACTAAGTCAAAAAGTATTTCATTAAGCAAAATTTGCGACGTGGGTAAAACACGTCAGAAAAACAATGGTGATAATATTTTTCCACGTGAAAATCACGTCACTAAGTTGTGACATGGGATTCACATCACAAACAACCAAAATAATAAAAAATGCTCCCACGTGAAAATCACGTCACTAATTAGTGACTTGATTTTCACGTGGTAAATCACCTTTACCAAGATATTTGCAGCACATTATCTCTAGCATCAATGAAAGTGTTTCCATGTGATTTACATGTCACTAATTAGTTACGTGGTTTCCATGACACAACTAAAAATTTTCACTTCACTGTATAATTTAATAATAATAATAAAAAAAATATTAAGTGAAAACAACGAATTAATAAATAATAAAATTAAAAATTAAAATAATTTTTAATTTAATTTTTTAATTTTTTTACTATATACATTAAAAAATATAAATATTTAGTCACATAAAATTCATGTCACAAATATAAAAAATAATAAAAAAATTGTCACATAATATTCACGTCACAAACATAAATAATAATTAAAAAAAAGTTATTCATCGTCAGTACTAAATATTGCATCTTAGTCTTCTTCATCATCTTGGACAGAATAATTTAAGTGTGAGGCAAAAAATTGTCGCATTTGTGCCTCCATGTCGGATTGCCGCTTCCTAATTTCCTCCATTTCAGCATTTTGTCTATTTCTCATATTCTCCATTTTGGCCTTTAAGGCCGCCTCACGTTCCTCTGCCTCTCGTCTCGCCTCAGATAGAGCTAACTGTCTCACTATTGCCAACATTTCTGGTGTCAATTCTGCCTGACGAGATCATCCTTCCCCATCATCGAGTCTTTGAAATAAAGTTCGGTCCCCTTTTCTATAATCGCCAGCCAAAGACCCAAGACCAAAAACACAACCATTGACTCCCTTCCCGCCTAGTGTTAAATTCCAAATATAAAGATTGACGCATGGATCAAGCGGTGCATTCCAATCGGCATATATTGAGGATTTTCAGTTTGAAATTGGGCAAGTAAGGTCTGGTAAAAATCCTACACAAACATTAAATAATTTAATTAAATAAAATATAATTTAAATAAGTTAATTATATACAATAATTATGAAATAAAATAATTCAACTATAAACAAGTTACCAAGGTTGATTTGGAAGGACCGTCAACAAACTCCCCCGATTTTTTGGTTCGGGTCTTCACAAATAGCTCATTAATTTGTGGCTCCCTTCCCAAATCCTTTTTCTAATTAAAATAATTAAGTTTAATTAAATATATAATAATACAAAATCGAACTTAAAAAATAATTATAATTACCATTCGTCGACGATGTTCGCCGATACTGATACTTCTAACTGTACTAAGACAGCCACCTGCTTCAGATGCCCTCATCTTTTTAGCATGTTCAGATCTTCTCTGAAAATCTTCTCTCTTCCACCACCCAATAAGTTCCCCAAATATTTCCTCACCTATCCAGTTAGGACGAGTTTGGTCTCTTTCTCAACGTTGTCTAGCATTCCTGAGCATGTCAGATAATCTGCTAGATTCCTGAACGCAATTGGAAGCAATTGTTCCATAAAAACATGACAATCATGACTTTTCATTCCATGCAACTTCCCAGTTTTGGTGTCAGCACACCTTTCTAAATTTGAAGCATAACCATCCAACATTCTCAATTCATTTAACCATCGACAAACCGTTTTAGCATCTTGGGAAGTTAGACTGTAACAAGCCTTAGGTTTTA